GGTTCAGGTCGTTCCAGCTCGTCTCCACCAGCGCACTGGCCACTTTTACGCGCCGGGAATGGCCACTTTTGGGGACCCGGGAGTGAGTCCTGCTCCGTTACCTCCACTCTAAACTTATATTGGGGAACCCACACGGGGTGGGGGGGGGGGGGGGGACACATCAAAAGAAATACAGCGGTGACATTTTGGCCACCCGCCGGGGGGTTGCATACCGGCCCCGGGGCGGAATGCTGCTCCCGACGCTGGTGACGTGCCTCGCCGGGTGCGCCTTTCTCCTCTCGCCGGTCAGCGAGGGTTGTGGACCGGGTAGAGGCCATGGCAAGAGGCGGTCACCGCGGAAGCTGGCGCCGCTCGCCTACAAGCAGTTCAGCCCCAACGTGGCCGAGAAGACTTTAGGGGCCAGCGGGAGATACGAAGGAAAAATAACCCGGAACTCTGAGCGCTTCAAGGAGCTCACCCCGAACTACAACCCCGACATCATCTTCAAAGATGAGGAAAACACAGGTGCAGACCGCATGATGACACAGGTAACACTCCCGGCTGCCGTAGTGCCTTTTAGCCTGGGGTTTTCAGCAGCAGAACCTGCTTCTTAAAGAGGGTTTTCGGTGTATTACTAAGTGTACTTTGCCCATTCTTTAAACGCGTGGACACTGTTATCTTTTCCGCATTTCTTGCTGACTCAAGGATTGTCACTGCAAAAAAAACCAAAAAACAAACAGTCTTAAACTCATTTTTCTTTTAGGAATTTGAACAAAATGACCCAAATGTATTTCGATTATGTGCCACTTAAAAGTAACAAGTGTCGTAAGTCTTCAAATGTCCCTCCTCAGTGGAATATTTGAACTTTGAAATAAAACTACAATTTGAACGCTTTTTCTCGCATGGAAATGTTTTGAGCTGGATTGTTCTTGCTGTTCTGTCTCTTTGGGAATCTGATTACGAAATCTGTCTGTTTGCACAACTCATTCTTCAGTCAATACTGAAATCTCTGCAGCTGTTGACACAGTGGGGTTTGTTTCTGGGTTGTGTAGGGGACCAGCTTGAATCAGAGCTCCACATGAACTTTCAGAGGTTCAGTGTGGGCAGCTCATGCGTAAAAAGAGGGCAACCCCGTCTAAAAATGTATGGAAACGCGGTTGCTCTTAATTAAAACACTATGTCCTCTGTTTTACATCATGTTTTTTGGTGGAAAAACAGCCAAAAGTCGTATTTGGTTAGAGCCCGGGTCAAGCGTGTACTGATGTTTACCGTTTTCGTTTTTAGCCCGACTGGCCAGACTTAACAGTCGCCTTTTGGACTGTCAAAATTTTTTACGACACCGTCATTGATGTGGCCCCGGGTGGAATTTATTTGACTCCCAATTTCCCCAGGAATAAAGTATTTATATCTGGCTCTTGTGACCGCGGGCTTCCTCTCAGAGCGGCAGCGCTTATGTCCACAGACCCACGTGGGGAATGAAGGCGCGCACTCCCGTCTGGAGCTGTTACCTCCGCCGTGCGCACTGCAAGAAATACCCGCAGGAGCGAGTCACTTTAGCTGGGTTCAAGTGTTCAAATGTACAAGAGAAAGTCCTTTAATGCAAGATGCGCAAATAGGGATGAGTTCTTTCGTTTTTACTTTAGTGTAAAAAGATTCAAGAGTTTTCATTTCCAGAATCAACTGATTCCGTTTGTTTTTATCTGCTTTTTCTCATGTTTCTTAGAAAATTACTCAACAAGCTGCAACAGTAAGAAAGGCTTAATTAAACCTTGTTAATGAAAGAAAAAGTTCACACAACTTTTTAGGTGAAAAGTGTCCAAGCATGGATATTTTTTGCAGCGCGCACCTCGAGCCGCCGCGCGTCAACGGCGCTGACCTGCACACAATTTATGGGCTCCAGGCCGCAGGAGACAGCCCCCTGTTTGTCTTTTACTATTCCGTGTTACTTTTTGTTTGTTTTCGCAGCGCACATGTGCAGAAATAGCCCACTTCACTTGTGTCGAAGCCTTAATTATACCGATTTTTTTTTCCGCCTCTTTATTTTTTATTCGCTTTTTCCTGGGCGCTCCGTGCTGCATACAGACGCGACTGTTCAGGAGCGAAGCCTCACTGCAAAAAGTGTCATTCCTCACATTTCACTTGGCCTTTTTAATGAGTTCAGATTTCTTTTCGAAGTGCATGTAAAGAAATGTTTTTAAAAAAGTGCAAGATTATTTCACTTATTTACAATGAATGTTGTTTAATTTCAAGGATTTCTTGCAGAAAGTTTGCGTAAAAACGGCTCCAGACAAGGCAGATAGCCCCATATTCAGCAAACTATGGCATTTGACTAAAGAAAACCATCAAACCAATTGCACTGCATTGGAATCAAGAGAAGACGCGTTTGGTTTTTGCAGATTTTGTCCTATCTTCCCAAGAAAACCAGTCTTTCAGACGCCACAGCAGACTAACTGACCTGTTCAGAAGGGCATTTTTTGCAGCGCTAAGGTGTGCATATAGGCACATGTTGTCAGCCTGCGCGTCCAATGTTTGTGCAGCCAGCGGTTTAGTGCTTAAAACCGCTCCTACAGAAACCCCCGTCGATCTGTATACCTTGAAAGGAAAACCAACAAAATCTATCGTCTGATTTATGAAGTCCAGCTCGTGGCTCTGACCGCGGAGAGAAAACATAAGACGTTAAAATCCACAGTGAACACTGTGAAAAGGCATCTGTGGCCACCGAGCTGCGAGCTATTCTTATCACAGCCAACATGGAAAGAGACATTTAGAGCGTTTAATCCCACTTTTTCACTCTTTATAGGCTGAGGTTCGTAAAAGCATCACTGAGAGACGCATTCAGAGGCTGCTGGAAAATGACAAGAAGCCCCTCATGCAACCTTGATTTAATAAGAAGTTAATTCAAATACTGTCAAGTGAAATAAATGAAACTTAATTAACCAGAAAAATGTAATTTCTTAGGATTTGACCAGAAGTAATCATGTGTGACCCTTAAACAGTTTAAATCAACATTTTACAAACAACAAATGACATAAAAGTGCCCGAGCCCAATGCCACAATGTACCAGTCTTAAAACTTTCATCAAAATCAACAAGATATGTTGCGTTAAAGTTTAAAAATGACCAAATCAGACAAATAAAATAGCATCGATCAAACAAGTTCCTATTAATTTGTTTTAATTCTAGTCAAAATCAGAGCAGGGTGTCTTGAGATTCATACTTTAATAATCAGAATGAGCGTTTAAGGATAGCGCCCTCAACAGGTGAGTCTGTGGCATTATTCAAAGCCTCATCCAACCAAATCCAACAAGTAGTGGCTGAGATATATTCAGGCAGGTCCTGTTTGGTTGGCTGATTCCTTCATTTCAGGACTCATTGTGTTGTTAAATTGATCCAGAAATGGACCAGTTTGAGTTATAATGTGAAACGGCTCGTTCTGCAGCCAAATCTGCATCATTCTATACAAATTATCACCTGATGTTTGTTCAAATCTGACTATGGCTGGTTGGAAATATGAAGAAATATGTTGAAAATGGTTCCCTCTTGAAGCCAATCTGTGCCGTGAGCCTTCAGGCCAATCTGAATCACCACCGAAAACCCAATTTGTGCAGAAATGTAATTAATATTTCTGCCTGTTTAGAGGGTCAGTGTTTTGAAATGAGAAAGCCTCCTTTATAGCCACCAAGCAAAACATGAAAAACATGAAAAACAGAGGCAGATAATGGACATAAAAATGTAGTCAACCCTGGAAGAGTTAATAGATATACAAATTGTTGTCAGTCAGTAAAAACATTTCTGAAATTGACATATCTTTATTAACTGCTCGAAGAAACCGCTTCAACTGCTTCCATTCAGACTTAAAATGACATGTCAGTGGACGGATACTTCAATTTTCTTTTATTAAACTTATACATATTATAACTTAGCATATTTTGACAATTCCTCCTTCCTACGTTTCTAAAAAAAAAGAAAAGAAATGATCAGAATTGGACCCATCAACTCTCAAAACTGTAGGTTGGAGTATTAATGGGAAACTGTGAATGTATTCCGATGAGGGCTGGTTGAGATAATATATCAAGATTCTTTGAAAAGAAAAGCTGATTCCAGCATTTCTAAACTCATCATCTCGTTATATCTACTCAAAATAAATTTTAATAATGCACCTTTATTAAACAACGTCGTTATTGTTCAGCTCATTCATCGTTCAGTTACATGACAGAACGATTAACAGACTGTAAAATGTTAACTCCTCAGTCCTTAGTTATTTGGAAAATTGTGAAATTTTATTGTGAAAATCAGACCAGTTATATCTGAGATGTCACCGGAAATATTTCATGTTAGAAAAATCGCTAAAAATAAAAAACCTCTCAGTTAAAACCACATGAAGAAAGTTAAGGGAGAGACGGTACTGCAAGTTTTCCAAAATAAAAGCACCGGAGGAGGGAGTTGAATGAGTCCTTCAATAGGCCCTCTCACCTTCTGTTTGCTCACCCTGACCAGACTCCAGGTTTAGCGGGACCCCCATCACCCTCAGGCATCACCCAACCACCCTATAACCTCACAGTCCCCTCCTTCACCCCTCCATCCATCCTTAACATAGCTCACCACAGAGAGCAAACATCAGGCCGAGCTGGGACAGCAGGGGTGCATTGTGGGAAGGCTGCGGGCACAGACAAGCGGGAGAGGGGTGGCGGGGTGTGACGGGGATTCGGTGAGTTCAGGCTTTTATTGCTGCTCTCAGATTGAGTGTGGCAGCAGTGGGCGGGGCTTCAACCTTTCCAACAAACAGCAGGGAGAAGTTCAAAGGTCAGGTCTGCAGTCTGTGATCATACAGGAGAATAACGTGACTGAAGGGTCAACAGGCAATAAGTCAAACCATAAACTATAAAAAAATACATAAAAAAGTTAAAAACAAGCATAAAATCTCAGATAACGTGAGAAAATGTTTATTCCACAGTCAGTACAGTTCCGTCACTTTCATTCAATACAGCGTTAAAAGTGAATAAAACATCCGACAAAACATACAAATCTGAGTGCAAAGTGCTACAATTAAAAGTTTTACATACTCGCTAATAAATCAGGAAAATAAAACCTTTCACTTAAAAACGCCTAAACAAATTCAAATTCTGAGTGAGGAAGACAAGTTTTTCAGAATAAAAGCCCTTCAATAAAATTCAATTCAAACATTTCCAACCTACAAATGAAGACGGAGGATTTTCTTCAATTATCTAGTGTTGTTTTGTGCTGATCAGCAGGTGAACGTCTCCATGGAAACATTTACAAACTTCCAAAAGTCATCACTCGGAATTTGATTTTTCTCCCAGTTTATGGCCACATGTGAACATATATAGTTTAAATATATGTTAACATATTTATATATATTCTATATGGCCAAAAGCATGTGGACACGTAAACTGGACTAGTTTTGGTCTGTTTTTCCTGGTTTGTTCTCAGCCCCTTAGTTCCATCGAAGGAAAATCTTAATGTTACAGCATACAATGATATTTTAGACATTTTTTCAGTGCACACAAACATTTCCTGTTTGAACATGACAACACTGTAAAAAATCTGTCTTTCCTCTTTAAAGGAAAAAACGGTCAAACTATGACAGTAAAAGACAGTTTACTGTAAAAACAACTTTTTTTTCTTACAGTGAACGCTCCAATGCACCATAAAAAACAATTTTCCCAGTTCTTGCAGCAGGTTCAGCATCTGGAAAGCCTGAAACCAGAAGAGTGGAGACTGTTAGAGTAGCACATTAATGCTCATTTGACTTTAATGTTCAGGCGTCCACATACTTTTGACCATATAGTAGTGGTATGTTTACTTACTGCGGTATTTGTTAAATCTATATGCAAAAGATAGACTTTTGATGTGGACATACGACAGCTGTGTCTCTTTTGCTGCAGCGCTGTAAAGACAAGCTGAACTCTCTGGCCATCTCGGTGATGAACCTGTGGCCCGGGGTCCGGCTGCGGGTCACTGAGGGCTGGGATGAGGACGGCCACCACTCGGAGGAGTCGCTGCACTACGAGGGCCGGGCGGTGGACATCACCACGTCGGACCGAGACAGGAACAAGTACGCCATGCTGGCTCGACTGGCGGTGGAGGCCGGGTTTGACTGGGTCTACTACGAGTCCAAAGCCCACATCCACTGCAGCGTCAAGTCAGGTGAGGGAGGACAGAGGCTGAACTTCGCTAAATCCAATTTTTATGAAGGGAAAGGTGTAGAGAGCCTGTAGACACCCTCTACTGGTGAGGGTGCCTAACCCTGACCCTAAAGGCCTCAGTATGCTTCATACGGAGCTAGTTCATATACGACAGACGATGTCAAAAGTTGTTTAAATCTATTCTAAATGGACACACTTAAAGACGCTGATCCAACGAGCTCTGGGTTAGAGGCACACAGATCTTTAACATTTTATTACATTTTAATCTTCAAAAGAAGCTGGATCTGTTTTTAAAGAATGTATCTGAAAGGTTTTAACATGTTCATATTTATCTGCAAAGCTTTCTCACAAAATCAATGCAGCTAAAGCACGAATAACATGTTAGTGGTTACGTTAAGGTAACTCCAAGCATTATGAAAATTAACCAATATTAAGTTAGGTTCAGTGAGTATTGCGACTGAACCCCGACGGCCTCGCACTCTGACACCTTCTCCCTCCTACTCAGCTTTCATGTATCACTAATATGAATTGTTTAAAGCTTTGCTGCTTTAAACAGCAACCTACAAACTCATCCAGTTCCCCCTTGTAGCTCACCGTAGCATGTTTCATACTGCAACCCTGACTCGTCAAATAACTGCTGCTAGGTCAGTGGATTCAAAATATGAAAATCAAAAAATCATCTCCATATGTGGATTTTCTCGCTCTTTAAATCACCTGACTTTAATGGCGCTTTAGGGACACCGACAGCGTGATATTTTGATGCTGAGGGCCACTGATAGACTGACTGACTGACTGACTGACTGACGCAGGAGTATTTGAGTGGGACCAGGTTGCATATTGGCAACAGTTTAGAAAAAGCACGACAAGCAACACTAAATTTTGCAGAATTTTGCAGCTCAGAAACTCCAAAACCTTCATCAGTCAGACAAACTGAATTAATTTAGTCTATTTAGGGTTTATATTTAAGGTTCAGAAATTGCTGCTGCTGCCTTTTCCTTCCTTTTTTTGTTTCACTCCTGTTCGCTAACTCTCTTCTTGCTTGCATCTTATAAATGTGCCAGCTCCTATATTTTTCCCCTTTTTCTTTATCTGTCTCATCTGCCACTCACCCTCAGGTTAGGCCGAGTTCTACGTCATGTCTAAATTTTTGCTTCTGTGAGCTGTTCGCGGCTTTTTTGCTTTCCTCGCCCAGAAGCAGGCTCATCGGTACTTCACACCACCACGTACCGGCTGATTTCAGAAGAGGGAAATTCTTAAATCCTGGACGATTTTCGTGGAACTGAACTAAACGTATTGCCACAAAACTATTAAGCAATATGTAGAAATTCTGATTTTGAGAATGAGGAAATTTTTAGATGTTTTTTCTTGGTTTTCTTGATAAAAAGAAAGTCAAATGTAGGTAAAAAACGGAGGGAGAACGTAGCTAGAATTCCTAAGGTGCATTTCAATAAGAAACATCCAGTCACTGAGCTGAACTCTGCTAATGGCTGAAGCTAACGGTTTTATTTTGTAGAAACAATCAGTTGTGGGTGAATTTAGCCACTACAGCGCTGGGTTTTGTTCCCCATTCGCATTTTTAACATTTAAAACCTCCAACTAGCTTCTTCTTTATGGCATCACCAGCTGAGGCTCTTGGGAAATGTAGTATTTAAAGCCATCTGCAGTACTGAAATGTCAATCAAGGTAGTAGTCACAACATAAATGTACAGTTGAGCAGTTTGAGTTAGCAGGAAGAGGCGGAGTTAGGAGACTTCAACATGTTGTGGTGCAGACTGCATTTACACTTCTTCTTACCTAGCAGAGATTAGGGGACACAGATTGTGGGTGAGTGGAAATCAGCTGCTGAGGTCTGCAGACTCTTCACATTAAGGTTCAACATATTCAACGTACTGTCTGTTCATCGCCACAAATGTGCAGCTTGTATGAAAAGTAACACACATGTGCCATCCAAAAGTGGACACAGATGTGCCGAAAGTCACACACTCTTATGAAAATGCATCAACACCCTCCGACACATTTTACACTGAGTGGTAACAGAGATTTTCCTTTTCTTTTCCCCCTCTTTCTTTCTCCTTTTTCCTACTTTCTGTCTCTTTTCCCTTTCTTTTTCCCTCTCCTCCTCTCTCCTTCCCTCCCAGATCGGGTTGCGAGGGCCCAGTCCTTGACTTGATCAGAAGGGCAACCAATCAAGTTGGTATTTTTTTCATGTTTTTGATTTTTTTTTTTTCTCTCACATTTTTCAATGAAACAAAATTCCTGAAAGAAAGAAATCAGTGGTTACGAAGAAAATCAAGCCAGCTGAGGAAAAGTTGTAACTGATGAGCTCTCCACCAACAAACTCCTCCTTAGAGACACTTAGCAAGAGGAAACAACCACTAGGGGGCAGCAAAGCATCCTGTAGATGAAGACTGGGGCGATAACGGGGATTAATGGAGCAAGTTAACACATTGCACCTCAAACTTCTGCTGCTTTACATCGACAACATGAGACATATTTCTGGGGTCGAACCAGGAAGAGAGTTAGGAAGGTAATATTTCAAGTTTTCTACCTCTACCGTTTGAGAGACGTCACTACTATTTCTGGTGCTTTTTGTTTGTTACTGAAGGGCAGTGTCTATATGATAAAGTATACAGTCCAGGGTTGCATCTCTTAGTGACATTTCAACTATTTTTATTTATTTATTTTTAACCTTTTAACCATCTAACTTGAGTGCTTTGTGAGATATGTGGCAGAAACATCGCATTATGACAGAAATGTTTCAGTTTGGTATCACACAGACCTGAAAACCTGAAAGTTGAACATTTTTGTTCATCGCAAAGTACTAATTTGTCTTAAATTAACAACACATGCTCTTGAATTCATTTCTTTTTGCATTAAATAACATGATTTTATGAATATTTAAAACCTGTGCATTGTTCACATCCTGGTTAGCAGTCTTCTTCTTCCCTGCCTTTGCCAGTGTTCACACTTATCAAGAGCTGACTAAGTTCAGTTCACACAGATTAAAGTGAACAAGTTCGCATTAATTTCTTCAGTTTGTTTTTTTAAATAAGCTGCTTTATAGAATGCCGAGAATTGAGAAACTTTGCTGTTGGTATTTATTATATTTGCCTTCAATATTTCCCTGTGGTCACTCGCAGTATTGCAGCGAGTATTTTCCTGATAGACCACCACTATAAAACAAACAAAGGTCAGTTATGACAAAGTTTGGATCCATGCAGGTGTTCTATTTGTTCCTTGAGCCCAGAAAAGCGAAACATCGCACTTTATCATTTTAACATAAGAGGCGTCAAAGATAATGTCGTTTATGATAATGTCGTGCACAAATCTACGCCTAAAATTAAAAACATGACTCGATTAATTTAATTATGCTATATTATTACTCACAGTGTCAGAATTAGGTTTTTTTAAGTCAAAATAATCAAACTTTTGACTTGCCAGGAGTGAAACTATATTTAAATATATGTGAAAAAGAATATATAAAACAAAGAATTCATAACATAATCAAACAATTAAGGTCATCACACTGAATTGGAGGAGATGTTTACTGGAGTTTGTCAGATGATTAACCCGCTGGCTCATTTTCCTGCTCTGCTCCTTCCTCCTTCAGGTGACTTATCTTATCACCTGGCCTTGGCTTTCCTACCTTCCCCAAATATTTATCCGCATTGTCTCGAACACAATCCTTCCCTGGACACACACACACAATATTCAAGGCTGCAAACAGGAGCTTTTATCTCGTTATTTTTTCTTTTATTTTCAGTGTAGATAGGAAAAAAGTCAATATTTAGCTAAAGGGAGTTGAAGACATTTATTGTGCGCTCAAGCTCTTTTGTATGGAAGCTCGATCCTGCCAGGACAAAAAATGTTCAAATGTTAGCCATAACAAAAATAGATGCACTAATTTAAATGTTAATCAACGATAATAAGTGTCTGACTTAATACCTCAACATTATGACATTTGTCTCATAGTTTTTAGTTCAACTTTATTTATTTTTTTCCTTTTGAGCATGAAGGAAGTAGCAGGAATGAACTTCCGTATTTCAGGAATAATCACATCCTGTTCCCTGTCTGTCTGTCTGTCTGTCTTTCAGACCACTCAGTGGCGGCTAAATCTGGAGGTTGTTTTCCCGGCGAGGCCTCGGTCAGGTTGGAGGGCGGCGGTCAGAAGTCCATCAGTGACCTGCGACCTGGTGAGCGAGTCCTGGCCTCGGTGGGCACCGACGGCAGCGGGGAACTGGTCTACAGTGAAGTCCTGGTCTTCTTGGACCGTGACCCCGGGACCTGGAAGCTCTTCTACACCTTGCAGACAGAAGCTGGGGCCCGCCTTTCGCTCACTGCCGCCCACCTGGTCTTTGTGTCTGAGGGGAACTGCTCAGAGGGGGCGGTGCCAGCCCGTGGCGCCCTCAGGACTGTGTACGCCAGCGAGGCCCAGCCGGGACAGTGCGTGCTGGTGTCGGAGGGTGAAGCGGGACAGAAGCACAGCGAGGGGCGTCTGTCTCGGATCACCCAGGTCAGTGTGAGGGAGAGCAGGGGGGCGTTTGCGCCACTGACCCAGCAGGGGACGCTGGTGGTGGACGGGGTGGTGGCGTCCTGCTACGCGGTGGTGGAGCAGCACTCCCTGGCTCACTGGGCCTTCTCGCCACTCCGGCTGATTCACAGCTGGACCGGATCCGCTGGGAGCCACAGTGACGGGATCCACTGGTACTCACGGCTCTTACACTGGCTCGGGAGGATGCTGCTGGACTCGGGGCGCTTCCACCCGTTGGGCGTGGCTCAGGACAACAGGTGAGGAAGGAAGAACACTGGTGGACGCTTTTATCAAAAAACAATCCTGAAATACCCAAATACAAGCCCGGAGAGCTTGCAGGACCGCAACTACCTGCCTGACGAGATGGGCTCCTGCTGAGGCATGATGGGAGTTTTTTCTGGCAGGAAAAACAGGGAAGAAGAAGAAGCTGTGAACTGACAGACGAATTCTCCCAAAACCACAAACACAGACAGCAAATATAAGAGTCAAACGACTCAGAGAAGTGCTGACGTTAAAAGACTTTTGGTTGTATCCTTAAAACTCTATGAAACAATAATCCCTTAAAATACCTTTAATAAATCCTTAATCTTACCTGGAAAACACAGTAAGCACTCACAGCAAACACTCACAGTAAACACTCTAAAAAAAGAATCAAGGGGTACATTTTCCCATTAATTTACACATTAGTTATCATCTTAAGGTGTTCTTAAGGTTGGGATTGAAGTGATTTAATGGCTTTTCTGTGCAGAAACTCATTAAAATCCCTTAATACAATGCAATCCATTAATTTAATATGGGATCTAATACTGAGTAAGAGTCCCGTTTACCTTAATAACACCTTAAAAGGTAATTCATTGATTTGTCAAATAGGTAATGTGTAAATTAAGGGGAAAGCTATATCTAATCTATCTGTTATTCTATTAAAACTCTGGGGTAATTAGTTTGATTTTGAGGTAAACTTTTGAGGGATTTAGTTTCATAGTGAAGTCCACAGGGATGTTTGTATGTAACATTAGAATAAATGATATATAAATGAGTGTATTTAAGTGTTATTTGTTTACAGAAATCCAATAATGTTTATGGAGTTATTATGGGTGAAGAGATATTAAAAAAGATTTATTTTTGAAATTAAATTATATGGAAATGAGCTGTGTGTTGTCTCGTTTATACCTCAACATCTACAGTGACCTGCTGACACGTGAACGCACCTTTACTGACCTCTACCGGCTTCCTTTGTCTGTCCGTCCGTCCGTCTGTCTGTGTTTATCTTCCAGGGGGGGATCAGGACTGATTTAGCCCCCCACATCTGACTGAAACCGCTCCGTGCGCTTAAATAAGGCCGTGCGTAACGACAGCAACACACCAGTTGCATGCATGCAACAGATGTCGGCTAATAATAACAACCTGCTGCGCCTTTAAGAGGATGACTGAGAAGGAAACCTAATATCTCTCCATATCGAGCTCAAGTCTCCATCAATTAACAGTGAGAGCCGAGACGATATCTGAATCTGTCCCTGTGCTCTGTCTCCAAACCTCCACCTGCTTTTTGTTCATTTTTTTTACGCATAAACCGGATTAAATTACGCATTGCGCCTTTAAGAAGCTGTCACCGGGATTAGAGTTACGCGCAGCGACCCGGAGAGGTTTTACGCACCGTCGGTTTCCAGGGAAGGGTCTCCTTCAGCGACATTTCTCCCTCTTGTCTTCTCCTCCTTCTTCTCGGGTCCGGACACCGCCGGGGAGCACCTCCACGCCGCGAGGACATGGCCGAGACAGGGAAAGGGGTCACCGCCGGGAAACTGGCCATCAACGTCCAGAAGAGGCTCACCAGAGCGCAGGAGAAGGTAAAACTGTGAGCTGATCGGCAGCAGCGGGACACAGTGTCCTACTGGCCCCCGTGAAACCCAACCCCGCAACTTTTTACCTTCAAACGCGACTCATTCACGCACCAATAATGACTTCATCAGGGACTATTTAATGTCTTAATCAGCGGATTGTTACATATCAGGGTAGGTTTAAGGGTTTTCAAGGGGTTAAATGAATACCAATATACACCTGAATGCAACATGTGAAGGTAGTTTAATTGGGTTCCCTGCACTGTTTAAGGGGTTTTTAAAGGGGTGAGATCTATCAACTTTAACCCTAAAAGAACTACAGTTTCTCAATCGATTGGCTTTACATACATTAATAAGTATTCTGCACAGTTTTAGGAAGTAACATTTAAATGAACATCAACCCTGTAACATTGCAAAAATAAAAGCACTTTGAATTAAGGTTGTTATGTTGATGATAATTTTAAAAGAAAAGTCATGAGCAGACTGTCACTAAAGGTCCTTAAGTTTGACCTTAAACCCCTTCAATTGACCCTTTAATAACAATTAAGGTGCTTTTAATGAGTTCTCTGCACAGTTCAAGGAGTTTTTAAGGTGTTACATGAAATGCAAACCATAAAATGTACCAAATGACTTTGAACTAATAAAAATCCATGCATTTAAAAGGGCAGGAAGTAGGAATAAAAAGCAGGAATGTCTTCAACACTATTTAGTATATTTAAGGGGTTTTCCTTTAATCCACACAGTGAAGTTTGATCACTTCCAAAGTGTCTTTGGCTGTTAGCTGAGACTTTCCACTAGAAGGAAACGATCAATCATGCTTCTTGAAGGATGTTGTAGTATTAAAATCAGTTATGATGATGCATTCACTGTCCTGCTTTACTGCTTTTTGTACAACTAGGTTTTCAAAGTAAAAGTCCTGAAGTGCAGAAAAGTAGTTTACTCCTACTTCTAATGCTGCTACAACAGTAAAACAACAAGAAGAAAAAGCCCTTAAATCAATTAAAATACATATTTTCAAGATAAAAATGTTGGATTCAATTTTCAAAAAAGTTAAAGAAAATATGTACTTGTCGTAAAAAAGTACCCACATATCTAAATTAAAAGGAAACGTTGCTGTTTTGGGAGAATTTTATGCTTTTAGATCAGATGAAAACAACATGTGTCAATAAGATGAAATATAAGATTTTGTTACCTGACATCAGCTGTTTTATTTGCAAACTCAGCTCCAGAGTGAAAATGACAGTCGACTGTAGGAGGAGCTGCAAAAGTGACAGATAGAAACCTGATCAACAGTCTGTGTTGAGCTCTCTGTCTCTGAGTTATTATTGTCTGTCCTAATCACTCTTGTTGCTTAAGCCTGCTGAGGTTTTACCCTCTAATCACCTCACTACCACACCAGGAAGCGCAGTCAGAGAGACAGATTTCATATTTAAACCACTCATTGTTCTCAGATGGTCTTTATGCATCCTGTAGTCGGTCCTTGTGCTGCATGTGTTTCCAGTAAAACCCCTAAAAAAGACTTTGATGGACGCTGGTAACTTTAACCTCTCCCTCCTCAACACTCCTCTGATGAGTATCTGCTCATTCCTCGTGGCAGCTGCGCATATTTCAAAACCTCCTGCGCTTCAGATCCAGTCTCCTTCTGCAAAAGTCAGAAGAACCGAGAACTAGAGACAGGAGGTGATTAGCTTAGCTTAGCATAAAGACTGGAAGCAGGGGGAAACAGCTAGCCTGGCTCTGCCATGATGAACATCATGAATCTGGTTCTGTGTGCGGGTGAATTAATTGGATTTATTTCCAACCAAAACCAGGGGAGTTTGGGCTTGGAAACACTAACAGAGACGGTTTTAATGAGTTTTATTTCTGATTTCTGTCACTTTGAATTGAAGTTACGATGCATCTTGAAAGTAAACAGAGTGTTTGTGTCCTCTGTGAGTCTTGGTTGGAGAGTGATATGATATTACGGCTGGTTTGTTGCGTAAACTAAAGTCGTATCTCGTGTAGTGGGATCCTTTTCATAATGCTGCTCACACACTTGACAATAACAACCTGAGTCTGTCAGTGGCAGAAACTACTGTTAGTGGACAGATTTTAACTCTGTGAATTCATTTATTTTGACTAAACCAGAGTTAGTGATTGTTGGAAAGACTGCCAAAGATGGTTTTGATGAGTTTTATTTTGTCCAGTTTGAAGTGTGTATTAAGATTATCTGCTAGTTGAAATGACTGGTTTTGTGAGTGAAGTCTGGTGGGCCGTAGCGCCCATTGTTTTGGTCTGAGATGTTGGTGCTCTAGTGCGACCCATTTTAGCTTAAAGACAGGAAACGGGACAGAGCCAGGCTAGCTGTTTCCCCCTGCTTACAGTCTTTGTGCTAAGCTAAGCTAACCACTTCCTGACTCCACCTTTTAAAATCTAAAGTTTAGAGGGCTTCCACGTCGTTGAAGTGTCTTCCTGCTGTTGTTTCGAGCGCCATCGATCATCTCAGCAGCTCTTGAATGAACTTTAAATAGCAGCTGCTGAATGAAATAGCATCCCTGTGCCACGTTCCTTCTGTCCTAATGTGAGAGTTTATTTATGAGCAGGTTACTCTCGAGTCATCTTAACTGTTTTAGACACCATTTGAACTTTAGTTTGTATTTCTCTCCCATGACAAAAACCTACATGGGAGAGAAATACTATACTATATTTACAAACTCATTATCTGTTTTTATCCGATTAAAAAAAGTATCTCACTTTTCACTTCTTATATATATTACATACAACATCTTTATTAGTACTATATTCATCATCTTTTGGTTAATTCAGATATTATCAGCACACTTTATTATTAAGATATTCCTCATCAAACCCATAATGGTATTCAATAGATAACCTTCGTCCTGCTTTTCTGTCCCATCAATAACACATATTTATAAAATAATCAATAACGTAGGGAATTTGAGCTGCAAAATGTTATTTATAAATACACAATAATGTGTTTTTTATCCAGAAAATAATAAAAACAGAAACAAATCATGAAAGAAGAACTTGTTTATGTCATAGAAGCGCTACTCGGTTATTAAAAAAGCATGAAAAATGCTTCCTTTCAGCTCTGTGATGATTTTTGTTGGCATTATAAAGGCACTGAAAGAAGAACTGAAATGTAATGAGGTCAATAGGTCATCTATTGTTTTGTAAGGCTGGTTAGTTGGATGGATGGTCAAACATTTCTAAACTGGGTGTGGAACATGGACTCATGACCGTAATATTTCTAAAATCTTGGCTATAACTCACAATAAACCACACTGAAATGTATCTGAAAGCATTCAAATCCAGCAATTTGAGGTTTCTTCTCTTTCGTGGGTTTGTTTATCTTGAGGAAATCAACCTGCTGGATGTAGAAAAGTACAAATTGAATTCTTCAAATGCAACAGAAAAGCAGCATTTGGAAGCCGGTGTGAGGCTCTGAGGTGATACTGAGCTCTTGAGCCGGAGTGCTGGGAGTAAAGAGGAAGGTCAGAGTATCATCTTCCCTCTGAAGGCCGGCTGAGGTGTGGAGGAGGGGAGTGTCGGCTTCAGCTGTCTGTCTGCTGGCACGCCGCCCTCCACCCCTCACCTCATCCAACTCTACACTCACGTACTTTATGCTTTTTAACAACACCTTTAAATGGCTTTACCCAGTAATACTGACGGAAAATGACTTCTTAATTTTACTTTCATCATATTACTTTTTCTTGTAAAATGGCTTTATGTCATTTTCTATACGAATAAATTCTCACATCGTAGGTTTTTCTCAAAATATTTTGACTCCAACACTGAAGTTCAACTTGTAACAGGACAGTTTGTTTGCAGTTTCCGCTGCTGACATCAGAAGGCAAGCACGCCATATTTAATTTTATTGCTTCTTTAATTTCTCTGTATATCATAATTTGATTCAGACCACAGAATAATCCCCAGCATCTCCTGGTGCCACCGTAGTTGTCATAGTGATATAATGTCACCCACTGAACCGGTCAGCTGTGCCACAGAGCATGCTGGGAAAATTCCCCTCAGTGAAATCCGGATGAGTGCGGTGACGGAGGAGGGAGGAGGTGCCCTTTAGAGAGCAGCCGGAGACCCGGAGTGGTGCTGGGAGTCAAAGAGGCTCCCCCACCACTCAACCCCCCAAAAACACATCCGACCACCTTCCACCTTCCTTAAGCCACTCAATGAACACTGCAAACTGCTTTTCAGTATCGTACATTCTTCAAATTCAGACGCACAAAAATGAAAATATGTTATTATTAAATTATCCTTTAAAAATTCTTTATTGCAGCCGTGAGATATTTCAGCTCTGGTGTGAAGTTAAAACGTTGAATCTCCAAACCTTTCAGGAACATAAACAGACTTAATTATGCAAAACTGTAAGCCTTAATATAATTTAAAGAGGTGAGTTGTTCACAGTTATAAACGGGGAAATTAGCTAAAGAGACCCAAACTGTCTTTGTACCAGGCTGTAAACATGGTTATTTCTGCTGTAAAATTTAGCATTTTAATACTGGGGCCTTATAGAGATTGACTCACTGCTGGAGCCAGCCTCGAGTGGCGATTAGAGGAACTGCAGCTGTTGTTGGCTTGATTTGCAGCCACAGAGGTCGCCGCTTGGTTCAAACTTATTGACAGAAAGCACAAAAAGAACCTTAAAATAAGGAATTATACAAATATTAGCTTTTTTGAAAAGTATGTATGTAAGTAACGAAAGCTGTTAGACACTTGTAGTGGAGTACAGTATTTACCTCTGAGTGGAGTAGTGGCATTAAAAGAAAATACTCAAGTACCTCCAATTTGTATCTGAAGTACTTTAGTAAATGAACTTACATTCCACCGCTGTATTTTTATAACTCTCTCTACAATTAGTCATTTGAATCCAATGTTATCAAACCTCGGAGTTGCCCTGCTTGGCCTCCGCACCTGTCCCTCCCAGGAGGCATGCTTCACTGCTGTGGGCGGTGCTCAGATATATATACATATATGTGTGTGTGTGTGTGTGTGTGTGTGTGTGTATCTATCTATAGCCCTCCTGGACCTCCTCCTCATCACTCTTAATACCCCACAAACTGCCTCTGTGTGTGTGCTCCGGGTGTATTTCTGGGGTTTGAAACTGAACACCGACGGGCAGCAGTAACATGCACACACACACACACACACACACACACACACACACACAAAACCAAATCAA